TAATGTTTTGCGCAAGCGTCATGCCTGGTACCAAGCTAACGACGAACCGTTCCATACTTTGATACATTTATTAATTTTTTTGGGTTATGCATATACATACACTGTGTAAGTTTTTCCTTTTAATTTCCTCCAACTTTTTTTTTTTATTATCTAAGCCATCAGGTAATTAGTTTGTATATTTACTAAATATTTTTTTTTTCTTTATAAAGGAACATAAGTTGAGGTTTGTCTTTTATTTCTTTCCTCATTTACTGGGTTTTTGGGGAAATAGGATCATAGTTTGGCCACTATATAGACCCAGTTGGCGCCTATTTATTTGTCTACTATTTCCGGAATTTTTGTAAGCTATCCACCCCCTAGCTGCCGTCTGAGCGACGTCGAAGGCCCGAAGGTTGACACCGGAACAACCGAAACTTGTGTAACCGTAGTAGACAACATTTTTAATTGTAGTTAATACTTTAATAATTTTTTTTTTTGTTTAAAAAATTTTGGTGGAATCACCAAGTTCATTTTGTAGGTTACATTTTTGGCGCCCAACGTGGGGCCGTCGTGTTTAAAATATTATATTTTGAGTGATTACCTTGGCTTTTTGATGAATATAAGTCTTAGATAATTTTCATACTGATAGAATTGAGTATATGTATATGCATTTACCATTTGTTGTAAGAACTGAATAGTGTACCAATTTGATTCATTGATTCACCTTTTTAAATGATTTTTACTATTTGAATTTTGAGTATTTAAAGAAAGTCAACTAAGTGTGTATTATAGTGAAATTTTGACTTTATTATTATTTTCGCACTATATACTGTATATTTTGGAACTTATATTTATATCGAGTTTATGAGTTCTGATATTAAGATGGCTCGTAAAATGTTTATTAATCGTTTGGAGAAAGAGGAGCTTGAGTGGGAACTCCGCTTTAGAGGTCTCAATGTTGGCACCGCAGAAGAGATGCGAACTCAACTTTCTATGGCTCTGCGTATGGAAAAAGCTGGTGATAGTTTTAAGTACCCTAGTTATCCTTTTAAGTTTGCTGATGACGAGGCTGCTCTTTCCAGGAAGTGTGTGGAGTTAGACGCTTTGTTAAGTAGTTATAGTGGGAGTAATAATGTTAGCGAGACTCAGAAACTGCAGAGTAAGTTGTCACACACATGGAATAGGTTTGATCAAATGGATACT